TTGACTCGTTTAGCAAAATTCTAGATCTCGCTGCTATGAATAATTAATAAAATCGAATATGTATAATCCGAGTTTGTATCGATAAAAGTGAAAAAAAAAAATAAACATAAATTAATTGAATAGGTATTAATTTTGTGTCAGTCTTTCGTCTCGCAAATGAAATAGATGTGAGTTCGATTATATATACAGTTATAAATTAAATCAGAGCGGCTCTGGTGATGAATCATTATTCTGACAGATCAGTGGTTCGACGATCTTTGATGTCACTAATGTCAGTCAACTTTTTTAATGTTTGTTATCGGTGATTGCATTACACTTTTAGACACAACAGATAACATACAACTATCGTTCGACGCGCTCAAAACCGCGTTGCGAAGAGAAATATGTATATTAAAATACGGTCGAATATATAATTCAAGTGCATATTGCAAAAGATAAGAAAGTAATCCCGTAATTTCGCCAACGCGTTCAATAGCGCGTTTAATGACTGCAGCTTAAATCCCCCTTTAAAAGCGATTGCATTACGTCGATTTACGAATCCATCCGCGATAATCCTTCCGCTCGCACTCAACCACAATATCATAACATCGATGCAATTTATCCACCCACGAAAATAGCCCCGGTTCTTTTACGGTCGTCGCAAATGGGGGCAAGAGGAAGCATAAGGGCACTCCATCGCCTTAATTCATACCTCGTTGCAATACGTGTCGCCCGTAAATCCGCGCTCGCGTGATTCTCCCGCAGCCAAATCTCTCGCGGATACATCGCGCCGTCGTGATGCGCCGGATTTTATGCGCCGCGGTAACGAGCTTCTGCGGTGAGCTTTACAGCGGATTTATGAGTGCTCTTTGCCGTGATCAGGTGGTAAAGTCGTTTCTTAATGCCCGAAGTGTGAGACGAGAGTTCGTTTCGGCGAAATTCATTCGAGAGAAAGAGCGAGAGAGAGAGAGAGAGAAAAAATGCATGACGGCGTGAAATCGAGAAGGCGAATGGAGTGCAGGCCGCATCGAATGCAAGGAGCGGATGAATAAAAGAGGGGAACGCCGAAAGAGCTTTGCGTAAACAGCGCTTCCGCGAAAGACGATCGGCTGTTTACGGAGGGAGGGAACGGTTGTTGAAATGAATCACGGTTCCCTTGACGGTATGATCTATGGATCTCCACAGACGTACCATATGTCAGGATGAAATATAAAGACAACACGCGTGTCACTGAACGGAGAACATGTCAACGCTTGTAATGTAGTCATCGGCAATGAATTTGTCTTCTCTGTATTCGCCTGAATACAAAGTGTTAATGTGGACAGTTTGTACAAATTAGAATTGCGAATTAACGCCAAGTAATTTTCTTAAAGCGATTATCCTTTATTTTTCAAAAATTAGGCATTAACGAATTTTTTTATTTCTCACAACAAGAAGTAAAGATTAACTTCTTAATGCAGAAAAAGTGTACGTGTATTAAGATAAAACGTTTCACAGTAGATAGAGAACCTGTTAGTCATACGATAATGTGCACTATGCTTTCACATTTGCATAGATAAATTCAATGTTTCGGGAATGGCGTATCTTCAGTTTGTTCACACAAACTTCGTAGCGCTCGTCGTTTTCTGCAAGCGTAATATGTGGTGTGCTGATAATCGTAAAACTTTACGCAACTTTATGGATATTCCGAGTTTTGATAAAGAACGCTCGAACATCATTCTCTCGAAGCTTTAACGAGAATTGCAGAAAGATAAGTTAGTTAAATGTGCACTTATTAACATATTAGCGTCTGCAACTGACATTTTTACATTGCGCGAGATGTTTTTACAGAGAGGTAGGTCAAATTGCAGACTACCGCTGTCGTACGATAAACGTATTGAGCGATAAAGAAAGTGCTGTATCGACAAATGCGATTAAGGCGTGAGCGATATTGTATTTATCCGATGCATGCGCGTGCTATTTATAAGAAATGATAATATTCTACGAATATAATACATCCAGAGGATTTTTTTAATAACTTACTTAGGATTGAAGATTAACAATGCTATTTTATTAGATGTGATTTAAATATCACACTTTTATTACAAATAATTTAGATATAAAATGATAAATGTCGATATACATACAAAATATTTTGTTTTTTTGTTGACATAGATTGTTCTCGTATGAAGATACTACTCTCGCGTATGTAAGATGTACACATAACCGTTTACAGCGCTTCGGCTCGTTTATCTTGCGAGAGGATCCGACGTAATGGAATTAAACGCTAGTCAGTTTCGTATAAGTCGCGAGTTGTGCGGCTTTTGAAGATTCGCAGTAAACCGGAACGTGGGCAAAAAGCATGCCTGCGAAATTATGCTTCTTTCAAGTCGTTATTGTGTGAAACATTAAATTATTCGCGTCTAATTTGATTTTACCGTACGCAAACGTTAATTAAGTGCGTCCTTGCCGTATTTAGGTCACCAGATTAATCACGAACTGAATATGCATCCACTTAGCAAGGTGGCTATTCGTATCGTAATAAAATTCTCATCCGAAAATGCGATTGGCCGCTAGTAGGTTTCCTTTGATCGTTCGGTATCGATGCATGTGAATTTACAGCGGAAAACCGCGACATGCGTGGTGGAATTGCTCAATTACCGCGGCGCGGCTGTTCCGCTGAAACCGGCATGCAGAGGTAAATCGTCGATGGAACGTGGCGGGTTTACCTTTGTAAATTGGCGCAAAAAAAGCAAAGCGCGGTCGCGACGACAGCCGCCGTGGATGTGCCGTCGTTTTGCTCATCGAGGCCGCCGTCGCTGCGAGCTATTGCGAAATTAAGGTTTATACATCGCGTTCTCGTTTAGCGCCGGCCACGCAGGACTCAAAGCGATAAGATCGTTTTAAAATCTCAAGATTTAAAGAATTAACTTTTTTATTGTGTGGCGAGAGAGATTATTTTACGCGCTGTAACTGATTTTTGAAGTATATATACATATATGGTCATCGTGATGTATCTTCCTTTTTATTTCTGATATGACGATCAAACTATTTCTAATATTTTGGATAAATAAATTTCCCAACTGCTGTTTGCATCGGCCTCTTGTCAACGATAAGCCATACATACTGAAGTCTGACAGACGATTGGCGCCTAGCAGCCGGCGATTCCCGAGGTCAGTCTTATGAACGTCAGTTCGAGTTTTGACGCGAATAAAACGATCCGCGGCTCACTGCGGTTTGCATTGCCAAGGTCAATCTAATCTTAGCCCTAATAATTGAGAGAAAGCACACCGACGTCGCGAGCAGGCCGCTTGTTAATATCAAGTCAAGTATATGCGATAGAGAGAGAAAGCACATCCCAATAATTCTCGGAAGCGATACACTTGTTAGATGATCTTGAAGAGTGGCCGAAGCTTGGCAACGTGCGCTAATGAGATTAACGAACATTGTCGGGGATTCTAATTCATAAAAAATTTCACTTAATCAACTTTTTGACCGTGGAATTTTATGCTAGAGCCGTAATTAATTAACGAAGAAAGGTCTAAACATTATTTTATTAAAACTAATTTATTATTTACTTAATCATACATATAAAAATGAAGCTATTGATAATTTTATATATATGAAAGATAAATGAGGTGACTTATGAATAATAATGAATAGTAATGAACGATAAATATTTGTTTGCGTGTTTAATAAATTAAATTAAATGACATTTGAGACAAAATAATTTTTTATTAAACGGTTAAAGCGGATGTCTTACATCGTTTCGTGCAATACTGGTTGTCAAGACCCGGAATGATATTTCAAGGCGGTGTTATCTTCGACGCCGATGCGCCACGTGAAAGTTAATCTCGAGTTCGGCAGCGCGGAACGAGCAATCTCAGATGAATTGATGATCTGGCCCGAGTATCCCGCGCATATTACGTGAATGACAGGTAAATCTAATGTGCCATCCCGCTTATCTTGTCACGCTCCGTTGACACAGTGGACATAAAAACGATCGATTCTTAATCTTCAGTATACGCTCGGAGACATAAAATTACGAAATTGACTGACAAAATTAGGTTTATGGTAAACACGTATGAGCCAATATAAACGGGTTGTCGGGAATAATTTTCAGCGCCAGAGTTCGTTGTCGTAATAAATCACAGTTTATTACGCATTTTACTCGTAGTGCGATAATTTTCGGAGATGCGCTTATATCTCGCCGAAAGAAATCGTCGGCAGAAACTAAAGAAGGCCTGTAATTTGCGTCTATCGAATAAGAATGCAAATTGCGACATAATGAAGATCTTAAAATTATAATAACGTCATAAGTTAGCGACGATCGTGAGTATCCAGTCCGATCTCGCATTCGATTCGAGAATTACGATTGAGAGTGTGTCAGTATCCGAGAAACGGAAGATGGCTATCGGTTGCGGATCTTCTGCAAAGATTCGCGAAGGATTCTCTCGGTACAGTTACAGGACAGTCTTTCGCGCATTACCACGTGGTGTATCGCGTGTTCCCCCTCGGGTGTTCATGCAAATCGAACGGCGCATTCGCGAGGGAGAAGCATCGATAGACAGACTTACCGTGTGCGACCGTATGTGGTCCGCAAAGTCGAGCTCTCGGCTTGATCTTAATCTCCGCCGTGGTAAGGTCGATACGGGAGCTCGGCAGTAACTGACTTTACGACTTTCAGCTTCTGTGATGGCATCGAAATGTACACGAAAGCTTCTCTCTCTCTCTCTCTCTCTTTTTTCCTCCGTGAGTTTTTAGAAAACGAACTGTAACTCCCCGGTATCGTGATGCGACGATACTCGCGATCGCTCGAATTATATAATTCTCCGAATCTCATCAAGCAGTGCGCGCTTTCTCAATCGCAATTTTCATCGAACGAGAACGATGTGCCATTGACCGCTATAATTTCTTATTATTATCGTGATTGGAATAATTTTCAGTACACTGTGATTAACAAAAAAAAAAATGTTGATAATTTAACGAATCAAGTTGTTAGAAAAGGAGTTTGAGAAGTTAATTTTGGGTTTGCTACTCACTGTATTAGTAACATCCGCCTGCATGCCCGAATCTTCGTCAGCTTTGATGACATCCTTCTCGTTATCCGGGGTGTTCAAGTATTCGTCGTACAGGTCCTGCTCGAGATTCTTGTTCTTGGCTTGCGTATCGACGATCTTAACCGGGCTCTTTCCCTCCTGCCGATCGTTGTCCCTGACCGTCAGACCGATCGTGTTCTTCGGGGGCTTACGTTCGGCCGAGCCAGCGGATTTGACGGTCGAGTTCTCCGCGGTCCGTTTGTTCACGAAATAATTGGAAGTGGTAGCAGCGGCGTGGGGCGCACTCGTGAAGAAATCCTCCGGCTTAGAAACGTTTCTCGAATCGTACTTGAAGTCCTTGACATTGTCGCGTTTCGCGTGTCTGCTTGCCTCGATGTTCCGGTAATCCCTCTTGATGGTGGTCTTCGGAGTAGTCGGATCGTCGGACGTGAGTCTCTTGATGATATCATCGTAAGTCTTCAAGGGTGGCTTCGTCTTGTTTTTATAGGAATCATCGTCGTCGAGCACCTCCTCCTCGTTGTCCTCGTTGTCGTCGATGAGTTTCCAAATGTCATCGTCTTCCTCATCCTTGTCGTCCTCCTCGAGCCCACCGTGATCTTCGTAATCCTCGTCCTCTTCCGTCTTCCTGTCGTCCTTCGAAAAGCGGTACCTGGACTCCGACGTGTTCGATCTTCTTCTCCAATCATCCGTCGATCGCAACGCGTCACCGCGATCGACGTCCTCGCGATCCTCCAAGCGATATCTCCTCGCGTTGCGATAGCCATTCACTCTGCTCCTCCAGTCTTTCCTGGAAGACGCGTGTCGCCTGGAATTTCTCCATCTCTCGTAGCGCTTATCAGCCCCGTCGTTTTCGACGTACGTGCGCGGCCTCTCGTAATCATAATCCTCCTCCGTATAGTCATCAAAATCCGACACGTCGCGATTGCGCGAATACACGGGCTTGTGATAGCTCTTGGAGGGTCTGTGCCGATGACTCTTCGTATTATATCGCGACGGGATTCTGCGTCTATCGTTGTTGTCGTCGTGCCAGCCGCTTGCAGCGTAATATCCGTGGTATCGTGCCGGATAGCGTGGCTCGAACATCCGACCGTGATAACTCCTCTGTGCGGATCGGTGATGCGATCTGCGATGATCGTAGTAGGATTGCGCTTCGTAATCGTCCTCGTCGATCGGGTCCTCGGAGTCCGCGTCGTACTCGTAGTCGACTTCTCGCCTGTCGGCCTCGTGATGATTCCTCCGATTCGAGGATTCGTGTCTATGCCTGTGTCGGTGTCTCGCCTCCGTCGTCGTCGCTTCGTCCTCGCGCTGATGGTACCGGCACTCGACCACGAAGAGGCCGGAAACCATCAGTAGCAGCAGTAGCCTCTTGTCGCGCGTCATTTCGTCTCCGTTTCTCAGATACCTTACATCATCACGAGACACGTGACTGCGGTTCTCGCGCGATTTCGCACCTGTCGATCACCTCTCGATCCCTCGCCGGGCTCTTCAGCGGCGCATCGAGCCGGCTCGGTTGTCGAGCAGCAGCACTCCACGACGATCGATACCACGTTGTTCATTCCACGATTAAGACGAGACGGCGCGCCGCAGCGCCGCACCCCGCTGATAAACTTCTGATAATTCACTGGTCGATCTTGATAATTCAACAAGGGATTCGATTCCGTAAATTTTCCGCCTTTCTGAATTTAACCGCACACCGCGGCGAAGTTGCGGTGGCCACGTGATGATCGCGGAGCTTGAAACGGTAAAGCAGTCGTACGCGCGTCGTACTCTTTTTAGACTCAAGTTGAGTCGGCGATACAAAAGACCGTTGCGCTCAGTGCTCGTCACTGATTTCTAAATTGCCAAAATAGCTCAAGATAACTCGTTATCTCGCGCACTCGGTGCTCCCGCACTGTTCTACCTGCAAGTCTAAAAATATAGAAACTCACTTTCTGTCTTTTAAAAACTTTGCAAACTAAAAGTTTCAGCGCACCGGCTAAGTCGGTTCGTTCACCACATCGATCCAATAACTTTTTCCACGTACTAGCGATCGATTATATCGGATTACATCGGATTAGATTTAGCTTCGAAGCACTTGTTCCCTAAGACGATACCTCAGTTGTCCTTATACACGTGGACCATCCAAACTTGATTATCCTGTAGCTGGCTCTCTCTGCTTTGCAGAAATAAAACAAAATTTAGAAAAAGATCTATTTATGAGTTTTCACATCCTGTAAATTTCAAGTTAAAAATTTTTTAATTGCAAGATGTGAAAGCTTATAGGAAGCTCTTTTTTCCGAGCAATTTGTGTTTTGATTTTCGCAAGATGAGGGGACCAACTGTACAAGGATTGACTGCTTTGAAGCACAATGTCACCGAGCGCGACGAGTCTCTTCCGTTCACCACCGGTTCTCTCGAGGGGGTAGTTTTTGCTCGCAATCCACACTGGCGCGTGTCTACTTGTGACCGGCGCGGGCGCCTCAATGTGGTCCAGTAAGATGGACACAACACATTCACGCCGAATCGTATCGCGGACAGAATGTCGCGCGGACGACTGAGGCCAGCCGGAGTGGCCAGCAGCCTAAGAGATCGCGGAACGCATCGCGCATGCGTACGAGCGATATTCGCCTCCACTGTTCGTCCCTCGCACCGCGCCGACTGTGGTCCTGCTGCCGTCGTTTGCCGTCTCCTTCGCTCCTTCGTCCTTCGCCTTTACCTTTGCAAGAAACGTCTGCGCACGATGTTTCACGGACCTCGCGATGATGCACCGTGAAACAATAGGCATAGGCGAGAGGTCGAGACAAGTTCGCGGACGCGATAGGCCACATCTCCATCGGATACAACTGGCATGAACTTTTCAAAAGCTTGAAGTCCAATTGTTTGGTAGAATTGCTTCTTTTCGATACAAAAGAAATATATATTTCTAATAACTCGAAGATAAATCTTGTAAAAACAGTTTTTTTTCAATCACTGAAAAGGTAAACTAAGATTTATCTTATTAAAAATTAAATTTGACGTAGAATATGATATTCAAGAAGAAAAATGATGCTTAATATCGTCATATTTTGCCAAGCAAGTCGGAGAACTGTGGACACAGGTGTGGTTACACGGCAGAATGTACGTATAAATAGCACGTATCAATGGAGCAAGCTGATACTTGGATCTATATTTTTTAAATACAGGGATCATTACTTCGATACAGTGATACTTTATGCTGCGTTGATTTGGAAAAAAATGGAATGGATACATACATATAAATCAAAGAGGCATATCGATACAACATAACTTTGTTCGTGGTCCTTGACGTTTGTCGAAACCGGTTTTCAATTTATTTCGAATAGACACGACATATCCGCATTAGACTTTCGTGGAGATTGCTCCTTGTCCGCGATAACAGGCATTAAATTGATTTAATATCGGATGAAGTGGCATGCCAGCACGTGTCGCTCTACCTGCATGTATCTTAATTGCGACTAGTCTTGAAACGAATTTAGATAAGAACGATATTTATCTTCTAGCAAAGAGCTTCGTTTAGGAGATAAAAACGCTGATTTGGTATCCGTAAAAGATATGATATACAGTTTTCACTAAATTAGATAAATAAAAATAAAATTGAGTTAGGGATACATTTCGTAACAGTGGCTAAAAATGAAAGATAGTGAATATATTTTAAATATTTCATACTCCTTTGTTTAGAGTAAGTTTTTAAATCACAGTATAAAAAATTAGAAGAATATTCATACAAATCTAAGAATTGAAATGTCCGTTCTAAAGAAAAAGCTACAAATTTATGCAACGAGAGATAGAGATGTATCTTACAGAGTATATAATCGAGTTCAGAGTTAATGGATGACCGATGTTAAGCGCGCTATCGGACCACTGTTTATCTTACGCTTTCGCATAAGTCATTATTCTTTTTTGCGAACGATTATCCAACTGTCAACGGTGCTTTTAACCAAGGGAGATAGGCAAGCGATGCTATAAGACGAGTATTGCGATTTTAATCTTTCACGAGAATCTTCCCCTTCTCTCAATCCGCATCCGCGACATAATGCGGAACGCGCGTTTCTCGCATTCTGCTTGCGTCAATTTTACGATTGTCCAGGTCGACAGTCGACCGACCGGCTGGCTTTTTCGCCGGCCGTCCCATTCACTTTCGTGTCGCCATTCAGAGATGTCGGAGTAGACGACGGTGTCGCGAGATCCGGGCCGAAAAGAGAGGAAAGGAAGCTCGCAGAGATGAAAAAAAAAAGAGGGAAGGGAAGCGGGACACGGAGGGGAGAGAGAGATCGAGGTGGAAGCCGCGAGAGAGAACGCGAGAAGGAGGAAGATACGATCGTTGATGCCGATCTTTGCAACCGGTACAACGGGGACTGGTTTTTCGTCGCGCACACGGAGGTCGGCAGGCGCTTTTTGTCACCCCTTTAAGCCGGCCGCGCTTACAGTGATAAATAAACACGGCAGTCCCTCCTTCGCGGCTACCACGCTGCACCTCCGATGCGATCGATGCGATTTGTCGCGGAGGAACGTCGCTCGGACTTTTTCCGGCGCACTAAGAAGCGGGAAAGAGGGAAACGCGAGATATTGAGAATCGTGCCGCCGCATTTCGAATAGTTTTTGAAGTCTGTCAGATCTGTCAGAATAGTCACTTAATTGATTCGAGCGCACGCGCGTTTGCTCAATCTGCGCGATTTACCGATTCGTTTCACGAAGGGTCGGTGAAAGCGCGAGGTTATTTATACAATTTTTTTTATTTTCTTTTCCGCGAGAAATTACATTGCACAGCCGCTGTAGCGTACCAAAATCAGAATTTGCATGCGCAAAACATGTCTTACGAAACGTGTAATACGAAAGGATCAGGATTACTCTTACATCGCGCGATCATTAAAATATTTCACGCCAGACTCATTTTCCCCTAAATGTCGGGAGTAGTGCGTTACGTAACGACGCGCTGGCCACGGCACGGAGGCGAGAAAATTGATTCCACGACGCGAAATCCGTCGGTCACGACGCGGCGTTTAGTCGTTGCGCGTCGGCGTCGTGAATTTCTCTAATTATTTCGCTTTCACGCCTCGTCGCTGCTCATCCATGCTAATTTGTACTCATCTGTCAAGATCCGTCGCACGGACAAACCGGCGCTCGTTAACGCCAACGCGAAATGACGATTAAGTCGCATTCGGCCGGCGGAATTTGTTTGGCCGCGTATGGAACGCGTGTAATCGCGCGCTGCCAGATAAGTGGAATGAGACACCAGGTGAGAGGGACGCCCGGTGAAATAAATGGCGCGGGAAGTAAGTCCCTTTTTTAAAAACCTTTCACACACGCGTGCCATTTAAGATGTTGTCGCACGTTGCTTGGGCAGCTTCGCCGCGGATGAATGACCCCGTCACGCTTGATTCGTTTAATGATACCTCTTACTGATTATTTATTTTACGATAAATGAGTCTGTTAACATTTTTGCGATTGGATAAGTGTGTGCATTTACAGAAACTTGTTCCGTGATTTCGGCGCGCGGTTTGAACGATCGTCGAGATAAAAGAGCGTTCACAGACAGCACGTGAGGAATTTCATCAAGATTTTCGTGGACACGAAACAGGATTAGTCATGCGGATTTAAGCGCGACTTTCGTGCCCGGAGAGAGATAGACGTGGGGTACCGATTTGTTCTACTTACAAAACGCGTAGGCCCGAATGTATGCTTAGTTTTCCATAAGTCATCGACTCAAAGATCCGTGACGCTCGTGGCTCGCACTGACGTTATCTTGTTCGTCAAATTGATTTTTTATGCACGGAAATCTTTTACAATTTTCACAGTTGATATATTCATAGCTAGACAATTAATAATCGTGCATATCTTTATAATTTTTAATTGAAAGTGTAACTAATGATCGACTATGAAAACTGCTCTTAAAAATTTAATGTATCGCTTGAAAGCTATTTTTTACGAAGATTATTCGACAAAGAATAAGTTAAAGTCTGTGTATTTTTTCTGAAGATATTTGAAAGATCGATTTCTGTTTATTGGGAATTAGTCGTGCCTATAAGCTATTGAAATCATAGATACTTTTACTTTATCGTTCCAAAGGTTATCAAGGCGAAACCGTCATAATCTTCTGTACATAAATGTTTACCTCGATTTTGTGAAATCAATACGTCGGAGCATCAATTTCTTATTAGCTTATTTGAATACGAGGATTATTGAATGTTTTCGATGATTTATATTATGCAATTATATTATGAGATAAAATTATAAAAAATAAAAATTTATGGCAGAAGTACTTAGCATAAAAGTGGTCAAACCTGGCATATGTATTGCGAATTACAAGCAAAAAAATTATTTCGCGCGTTTTCTCCGTCAATGTGCCGCACGTTTCTTCCGATTTCACATCTTTCGACTAAGTTCAGCCGGGTTATCGGCGAAGATTATGCTTTTGGGTCACTTTGCCATTCTGAGAAGTATCACTTTCCGTCTGCGACAGCCAATCACGCGTTTCACATATTATATATAAAATACGACAGAAAACTATTCGTTTCTTGTTTCTGCCGACTGTTCGCAATACATAACACAGCGGAATAACTTTTACGTCTTGAAATAGGATTGAAAGCAGACTGTGTTGGCACGAGCGTACCGAATAAATTTACCTTAAGTACTGCCGCCTTTCTTAGATACAGAAATAAATTACGCCCAACACGCTAAAAACGGTCGAGAGGACAGAGACTATGAGAGGAGCTCGTCGGGACATTCTCGCTTCCCCCTGAAAAAAGAAGAACGCCAGCGCAGAACACCCGCCGCGGTTGCAATCTTCGCGATGCACTTTCATCTGATGATCGCCGCTCTCGCACACGTAGAGAATCCCATTTTGCACGGTGCACCTGCTGAGTGGTAACGCAAGAGGGACGGCGACAAAGAACGCGTGTCGGACTCCGATTGTGATAACCGGAATAACTTCTCGTGTATCCCAAGGTCGTTGGTGCTTCGCTACGTGACCTTTGACACCTCGCGCGCTCGACCCGCGACACCTCCCATGGTGCTCGCCGATCTTCTTCTTTCACCACGTTAACCTTGAAACGCAGCCGGCATCCCTCGAGCGAGAAAGTGCCGGTTTTGTCACTCGTTGAGGCCCGGCGGGGGAGATCGAGAGAGAAATACATTTCCGCTTTGACAATTATGTGTTTACCGAGTTGCAACGACATTCATTGGCTTTTCTAAAATATCGGCGATACGCTCGAATAATTTTGTAAACATTTCGTTGTCTCGGCGACAGTTTTTCGACCGAAACTTACAGTCATTAAAGTCATTTTTCGCCCGATACTGAGAGCAAGCTGGCGGAAGTGCTTTAGGTATTTAAGATAACTAGACGACAAACAGAGAAAAGCAAATAGAACGAACCCTATACGTCTTAACTCTGTTTCTCAAATGCAAACATTTTTCATGAGAACCTTTTAACTCTCCAACCTTTCTAGCTCTTTTTCGTTAATGGGAACAACCCACACTCGGCAGCTTATAAACAGACGAGTCTTTGTAATAATATAAACTTATAGTTCCATAAAAATAGAAGTAGGCTTTAAGAGACGATAATTGTTATCACGAGAAATGGCGGTCCACGGGCGTCTAATATCTATCATCGCTAGGTAAAGAGTTAAGCTTCATCATAATAGAGAACGCGCTGTATAATGTATGACTATTCCTCGCAACAGAATTAGATTACGTCGTTTGTTCTAATTATATACAGGACATCTACATTCCACTTTCATAAATAATTATACTTAATAAAGATGTCTAGACACCCTGTTGAATAAGCAAATATAAATAAATGTCAACTCTTGTGTTATAATTATACTTATTTATAAGATAAAGTGATCCTATTTTGAGATTACGATCTGTAATTTCTAGGTTTCGTTTAATTTAGGCAGGCTTTTGTTTAACCTTTTTCTTTGACATTTATTTATGAATATCTGCTCTTTCTTGAGATGAAAACCGCTTTGTATCAGTTTGATATTCGGGATGATTAATATCAAGGAATTTACGACAATTATTTTTGACAATTTTGTATCATTTTATTGACTCGTTATCAAACGCAGTGCACTCGCACCGTATACTGCATTTAATTCTTTGACTTAAACACATAGTTTACATAGATACTAATGCCATTTTCTGCTGCACCTAGATCGAAGATATGTTTTAAACACAGGTACAAGAACACGGGTACAGTGAACATTACGAAGGGACATTAAATGCAACGAATGTGTGCGGCAAGTATGACATACGGTAGCATTCGATATAAAATTACGCGAAACACGTGCTTTTAGTGTCGTATCCATTTAAATAAAAATAAAAGTCAATGCAATTAATTTGATGCGCGATGTTACTTTTTATATCGTACAATTACTTTGAACGTGCAGTAGGTTGTATCCAAGCTCCATTTAGAAATGCATTTATAATATTTAATATATGTATAATAAGTATAGTAAGAAATTTGGCGACATTAATTAACGATAGGTACAGCGTTACTTTTTAAAATCTTTTTTTTTTAATTAAACTTACTTTTGCAATTAATTAAAATACATCTATTTATATGTAAGTATTATATTTTACGACTTATCGAGTCGGAAGTGTGTCTCCGAATGGGAAAAGAAATATATTTTCGAATAATCCGTTTAAGTACAAATTGTATTGACAAAAATGGGCGTTTCTCGAATAGAAGAAGTGTCTTATACGGAAAATATCTTGCTATGGAAATTATTCGCTGTGGCGGATTAAATTAAGAGGTTCGTCTTTTAAAAGATGTAGTCGATGAACTGACGAAAGTTCGTTCGAACGATCGCGATACTAATTAAATGATATTTATGTGTGATCGTTATCGGATCTCGGTCGTTCGTTTCGTACTTGTTTCTTTATCGAGAGAAGCTCGATACGAATTCCGCAGTATAATTCTACGTTTTCGCTTTTATATCTATGGTCCAGCTTCACAGCAGTGTCAGCAGGATCAGAATGAAGGCCAATGATGCGCCTAGATTCGCTACCGTAGATGCGTTCGTGAGGTTGAGCTGGCTCTTCAGTTTCTCCGGCACGTCTAGGTAGATTTTTGCGAGTCCCACGTCTTGGATCAGTTTCGAAAGCTGCGATACGTCGACGTCATCGTCCTCTGACGACCAGATCGTTAATGTTGTACTGGATGTCGAGTTCTCCAACAACTTCTTTATAGACTCAATATCGTTCGCCACGAGGCCAGCTCGTACAGGATAAGTTATCGGCTGTGTAACTTTGTTCTCCTTTAGAACGTCGAGCATCTTTTGGACTTGCTCTAAGGTGTATTGACCATCGGTAATGTTTAACCCCTTTCCGTAACTGAAATATTGAAAGATTGTTAAGTTTTGTTAAATTAATTATGCTTTGACTACGTAAAAATTAATAAAATAGCAGTTTTTATTAATATGAGCGCGATAAGAAAAAAATTTACAAATACCTATTTTTACAAAAATTTTCAGATAATAACGATCTTTCTTCAACAGTTTCATTTGTCTTATTATCTGTTTATTAATTTTCCGAATAACTTTGTTAATACATCTTTAATATTAACGCATATCCATCACTTATGCATTTTATCGAAGCGTTAAGTTGATTATTACCTCTCAAGGACTACGTATTTATAAATCTTTTTTATAAAAGATCATGCCATGGTCACGGTACATATTTCTTTGCTTATACGGTTAATTAATTACAAGGTTATATATTAGAAACTGCTATTAATCCGTTCAATGCACATTAATAGTTGTTTACCTGGTTGTCCAACCGACGGAGAGAGTAGACTCTGGTAGAGTTTCGTTAGCTCCTTTCAGGAAAGTTTGCGCATTAATCGGAGTAGTAGTGGCGTTGACTGGTCCAGGAAGAATGTCCGCGTTGAGGAAAACTGGGAATTTCAACTAGACACACAAATATTTCATTTATACATCGAATTAAATATTTAAGCAATATGTTTATATAAATATACACACGTTTGATCGGTATTTGGAAAGGAAGTTCTTGCTCAAATCGAACACTTCATCAGACTTGAAGTCCAGCTTGATGCCCTTCGAGCCGTTACTTTGGCGAATAAAAGTTTCGAGGAAGTCCTCGAGCGATAGATCACTCTCATTAGCCGGTGGATGCGCCATTATTGGGACTTGATATGCACTGTTGGTGCCGTTAACTTTGCCCAATACAACATCGGCCTCCAGCATCATGATGTCCCCTTTAAAAAGGAAAGTCGGTTGTCCTAGTGGGTTGGTTACTGTATGCGTGCATGTGCGAGCGTGTGCAGCATGCTGTGGTTGAGACAACGAGCCGGATGGGAGGGTTCTAATATATACGTACACGTGCGACGAATATCGATCATGCCTAAAGAGGCTGGAAGACTACCGGATCCACTCCCGTTGACGCTACTGTTGACGCTCAAATGACCGAAAATTTTGGCTTTTTCATCACCAGAAAACTGAAAGCACGCTGACAGAGGCTTACGTCGCTGTCAGATCGCTTGAAAACCGCGGATGAAGGAGCGCGCTTTTAGCGAGCTTTATAAAGCCCTGACGTCTTTCTTTCTCTTTTTTTTTTTTTTTTTTTTGTTTGATACCAAAGTGATCGCTGAGCGAGATTTGCGGTAGATTATGAGAAAAGATGAAAGTCCCTCTGACGTGATAGAAATTGTGATGATATATAGAAAGGTGTGATTTATATGTAATTGGATATTTGATGACGATTGGGATTCTTTTTTCAATTTTAATTTTCGATACGAGGAAGACTCTATATCCTTTATAATAGGAATAAGAAGATTGTAAATATTAAGATTGCTTTTTGACTCTTTCCTATATTTTCTCCCTTATATTTACTGAGAATTTACTCTAAATAACCAAGATCAAAGATCGACCCTCGACCTTTAAAGTTTGATTTTTCAGCTTATTATCAAGCTTTTATAGATGTGCGTATAAATGTGCTTTTTGACGAAACGTGCGTGCAGATGATTTATCAACGAAAGTAGAAAACTTAAATTGTGAATTTTTGTTCTCGCGCGCGAGGGAGAAGCTGAGGTTTCAGAGCCAAACTTAAAGTTGGCACGTCGTGCACCTATCCGTGATCGAGATACGAAATACATGTCTATTAAAGCTGCCGGTCTAGAATACGAAACTAATTGATGTAACTTGTATTTTATATAACTATTTTATATCCACTTTGTGAAAAAGACACGTGACAGAAATCTCGGAAAGTAGACAATCCATAAAGCTTTCTCCCTCGCTGTCGATATTTCTGGAGGCGCACTTCTCAAGGACGTTCCACCATTATTTAAAGCGCGCCGATATAAAAATACATGTCACCATGCGGGTTGCATACAAAGGCGCGCGCGATCGGACGATATGGGATATCCATACGAGTGACAAACGCTCAAGGTGCCGGCATTGAAAGCCAATGTCGCATATAGCGAAATGCCACGAAGTTCATTAACTAGTAATGTGTCGATGGTCGATGGAGGAATCCTGAACTCGCGATAAATGAGCGTCTCATCGAGACGCGACGGTTTTGCCGAGATTATTTTTCGATAGCTATTTTCCCCAATATCAAATATTTACGATGACTGTTGCTCATTTGCGATCAAACTTTTAAGTGCGTCAAATAGATGTCTATGTATATCTAAATTGTTTCTGTCCTTCAATCATATCGTATAAGCTATTACGGACAACTTATCACATCTTATTATGCAATTATCATCTTTTGTAATCTCATTGGCGTAGTAGCGTTAATATTAGCGTTAATCTTCGAACAGTCGCGTTTTAAAAATGTATTATAATTTCTATTCATAAAAAATCTTGGTCGAAGCAATACTTATGATATTGTCTGAAATAAATCTCTCGAATGACTATTTTTGTGTTTATCAAGCATAAAATTATAATCGTCTTATTGGAGATTGCTGAAATTACCGATTTGTTTTGACATGTAACACGTTGAATAAAAAATATATCCGGTTAAAAATATGTCATCCACGTGACCGTTTCAGAATTAATAATAAATGTTTACTTTTTGTACACAGTGAGAGTGACAGTCGTGTTAAAATTTTCAATTAAAACATACGTCAGTGTCGAAACTTTAATTAGTGTGTATTAACAAAGGACAACAATTAGCTTGGATAAAAGAGGAAAGCTCTGTAACATAGATATGAAATCTAAACTATATATCTAAAGAGACAATACAATCTACGAAATGTTTAAATTAAAGATACGTCAAATATTTACAAAGCAATTCTAACGTTGCCGACGATATTTGTTGAGCGCGCAAGAATAATCATGGCGCCAGAGCGGCATTTCGTCCATGTCTCTCTATCCCTCGAATTGCAATAAAGGAAGAACGAAGAAGAGAAACCATGATGCGTTTCTCTGAATTACAGCGCGAGTGACTTACCTGACGAGAGTGCCTTTGCCAATTCCGTGTGGTTGTTGACGGCATGCGCCCAAACGATTTTCGTGAGATTGCTCTTGACATCGGGGAAGAATTCGCTCGGGGGCGGTGAAATGGTGTCGTTGTTGCTGCTGCACATGGCGAGCTCTGAAACACGGGAAGCCCTTCAACTGCATTATACAGGCCATGTTTCGTATTCGCGCGATGCACGGACTTGACCTTCCCCATCAGTATTCTCGCGACCTCGTCGACCTATGACCCAATATTGGACGGACTCGCTCTATAATTGAGCGAGAACTCGCGCGGAATTTCTCGCGCGGTGCGATGCGGCGCGATGCGGCGACGTGGCGGCGCGACCGGGTGCTCTCGGAGACGATCGGGAATCTCGTTCGCTCCTCCTATTGTGTCCGTTCGATCGATAATAGCGCTCATTTGTCAGGCTCGTTACGAGCGGCTTCGAGCCACCGTCATCCGGCGTTTCGTAAAACTCTCTCGTGACCGGCGGACCGAACGAATTCGGGAGGCTCATCTCTCGTCCGAAATATATTACTTCTCGCGACGGCGCGAATGCATTTTTTATTTTTACGCTGACTTGCCCGACAGCACAAATGTCGATAAGTGAATTACGTACGTACGTACAAAGCCGTGACCGTGCGTAGTCAGGAAACAACGACGTTCGCTCGGGAACGCGTCGCGATAAATTAATAACGAAATTGCGTCGGTTTCCGTCGCCCCGCGCTATGGAAAATTCCACGGAGTCCTCGGCTCTCTTTCTCCGGCGAGTTAGATCGTTTCCGGGCCATGTGGCGAGCAAATTTCGCACATCGAATGACCCCTCCGAACAGATTGTGAGATCGGTCTTCCGAGACCTTTCGACTGGATCTTTTTATAATATGAATAGTTAATACCGCAATACAGAGCGGAACAAAATCTGTTCTGAAAACGCCTACTTTAAAACTAAATTTTACAAAGAATCTTTCAAACATGAGAGAAATTTTCTTACAAAACAGTAAATAATATTAAATAATTTTTCTAAATATTTTCATTAGAATTTCTATTTTTTTCGAAAAAGAAAACAACTGCGATAAATATGTTACGTTCGACAAAACAGTTTATTTAAAATTCCCCTGTTGCTAATCAGCTTACAATCAGAAGGCGGTGTTTATTTTTCTTCTATCACGTTGTAACTGGAGTGCAAAAACTTGACGAGGAATCTTTTTCTTGCGTAGACCACAAGCTCTGTGGCATTAAATTACTACGCTCGTTAAGTTGTATGGATTTGGTCGTTTATTTATTGTAAACTTTTCTAAAAAAAAAAAAGCACTTTGTTTTCGTGAGGAATCGATAGTTAGCCACACAACCGCGCCAATGATTCCGACTGACCCGTTTCCGGTCCAGCGATCGCGGATGAAGCTGGACTCGTGCCGACCAATGGAGATATGCTGAGCTGACTTTTTTTTTAAGCAATAATAACAGCTTTCGGCTTGTATATTTCCGCTGCAACTTTACGGTTAGTGACCATTGCTATCTGAAGAGTTGCACAAGTTACGATTGCATCTCTCTGTATAAAAAAAAACTTTTCTAAACTTTTCCCAACCTTTTTTTAGGAAACTCCACTCTACAGTGAATATTGTGAGTATACAGTTATTAAAAATAATTGCATTATTGACAAAAAAAAATGTCATTATATAATAATTAATTGTAATTATATGACAGAAGGATTGTAGTGAGTGAATTGCATCTGCAACCGCAACACTGTAACAAACCGGGCGACCACTCCCGGGTTAATTTAATGACATTCCTACGGGGATCTATAACGCCTGTGTACTTAGACACACGATACCAGAGAAATGAGTCATTCGGTAGATAGTATTTGAACAGGTCACGCAATGTTAATTCATGTTTTGATCTGCATCGTTTATAACGTTTCATACGGGGTATGAGTTTTCAAATATTTTGTGGAAATTCTTCCTTCTTAGGTTCCGTCTTTGGTTCCTTCTTAGGAAGGTCAGGAAAGGAATTCGTTTTGTACGTGCCCGTTTTAGGCCCTGTCAAAAATCTGACCTGCTCGCGCTCCCCCTGTATCGCTGCTACAATGTCTTCGAAACGGCCGTTTCTGATCCGGCCAGTCTCACACAGAGACTGTACTGTGTTTAAACCGGTCCGACCAAGAGGGAAAACCGTGAGAGCGGTCCTTCTTTTTTTGTTACGAACGGTCGAGGTTCGCTTGCCCGAACACTATGAGATCGAGGCGATTGGACTAACCTCGGTCGAGCACAACTGAACCAATTGGACAACCGATCGCCCGTTTTCTCGAAGCCAATATTTCCCGACAATGCGACGTGTCGCTGCACCGCGGCAGCCCGGAAGCTTTATTATTGCAATTGGAATTGCGAAGTTTTCCCGCGAGGAGAGATACTTTGCGACGCGGCGGAGACATATCTGTTTTAAAATGCATAGCATGATTTAAATTCTGTGTATGCACCATATAAAATGTGATTATAGCGTATTAGAAAATAATATCGGTTGCAAAATAAGTTTTCTAGTCTAGCCCATTTTCTTGTTTTTTTTTTTCGATATTATTACTTAGCGCAGGCTTTCGTAAAACTTTAGCTTGACAATTTCCGATACTTCAAATAGAGCGTCAATTTTTATCCTATTTACTTCACGGAAGAATGTCAAACGTCACGAATGGTATATTGCCCGTTCTTCAGCTGTGCAATGTCTCGAGTGGGCGCTTTATCGCGGCCTGTATTTTCTTAGCTCATACCGAGCGACGTATCGTGGATAGAACGAGGATGCAACGGGGAAATCGAATCGGGCTTCCAGCCTCGTGAGCAACACCGCCGTCGGCGTGGCCGTCTTTCGCGGCTGTTCTACAAAAGAACCCGATGCCCCTCGTGGGCTGATAAAAGCATCTTTCACGCGTCACCGCGCCCCGTATAGTTTGCAAATAGCCGCGACTACCGCGCCGTTCTCTTCCGCTTAGAATGCGCTTTTGAAGGCTCCAGGGCGTCTCTCGCCGGCGAGGCGGACGCCTCGGAGCAAGTTTCGCCTTAGTCAGCCGACTGACAAAGCGTGACTTATGGCCGCATCTATTACTGAGGAAACTTAAGTCTCGATTAAAGTGGAAATCAGCCGATCGAAAATGGCAATTTGGAACTTTAAACGGAGTCTGATATCTCGGATCTGCCTGACGGAACTTCACGTCAGTCAGTCTAACTCTACAAAGATGCAGAACAGGTCTCAATCAGAAAGTTTCATAGAAAACTTGCTTAGCATAATCGATATTCCTAGCTTTTACACACGGAAAATATTTGAGCGAAAGATAAAAATATACAACAACAATTTCTTTCCTTTTTTCATTTATAATATTATTTTAATCTGACATTTTTTTATTTTATATAATTGTCCATGTAATGTTGGTTATGATTGGACATTTTTTATTTTTAAAGATAAAAAGTAAGGTCTCAGACATTGAAAATTATTGCGAAATGTAGCAATTATTTATTTAGTATTGCGAGACAAGCTGCGTGATAAAAAAATAATTTATGTGCATCAAGTGAGATCAAGTGTAACATCGATACATCGATGGTAAATAAATAATGGCCCGATTGTAAGGTAAACAGCAGATAGACCATGTCAGTTTCTCAAGTTGTTTAAACTATGCGATTATCTGATATATTTTTAGATGCGATAAAATGCGATATTATGCTTCTCTAAATCAATTATCTAAATCCTTCAATGTTTATCGAAATATTGTGTACATCATAAGTAAGCTTCAACAGCATTACTTTTGTGTCAATAAACATTGACTATTTACTCAACTTAACTGGAATTATTTTAGTACAATACAATGGATCGTTTTATTATATCGAAGTATTTTTTATAGAGTTTACATAAATTTATTGAAAATAAATTGTTGAAGATCTTTTACTAAATTCCTAACATATTGTTTTGACCGAAATTAAGGATTCTACAAAATTCAAGTTCAAATTGTATGTAAAATATTGATACTGAATTTGAAATTGAGACTCACTGCTCGATTGTTTAATTATGAAGACACGTCTTTTTGGCGAGTTCAGACGTCACGTGCGATAATGATAAATTTATGGAATTCTTTTCCCGAGGTAGCTCAAGAGAGACTGAAGAAGTAATATATATTCACTTGATGTGAATATGCAATTTTATTACATTAAAGTCGATCTAAAAGAGAAATTTGTCTTGTCAAGCAAATGTTTAATTATTTTTCTAGTAGATGTATTTAATTTACATCTTTCTCTAAAAGAAGTGCTTTTTGTTTTAGTTTCACGTAGTCGATTTGCAAACGTTGCGCTCCTGTTGCTGAAGTCAATGACCGCCTCTACGGAGGCGAAAATTTCCCCTACATTTCAAGTAGTCAAATTCAATGACTCGGACATAGTTCTCAGATATTCCAAGGAGTGCAAGCGCACCTAGTCTACGCTTGCAACAGGGCGATGAGTCTGCTCTGCTTATCGCAGATAAACATGTTTTTATCAGAGCGTTATATTTTTCCACATTTTCAAGTAAACTGCATTGCTCCATTGCGAGCTCTACTCAGGTGATATCAAATAAAAATGATACCGTGACTCAGAGAGGCACTCAGAGAGTCATCGATGCAGATAAAATCCAAAATCACATCGCTAGTGCGTATCTTCGCGCGTATAATATATCCCCTCCTCTTTGTTGGAATGGCGATTAAAACGACGAAATAACGTCGCGAGATTATACGCCATGGTCATGTGGCATTGGATACAGTGATACTGCTTTTTCGGATTAGCGTTTCTTGATAATTTGTTTGCAAAAGGTTCGGGCGTTTAAATATCGTATCTCATAATAGCTTTGTATAACGCGCCTCGCAATAACATCGCAATCCAACACCGCGCGGTTGTTTTCACAGTTTAACTCCTTGATATAATTATTTACGACAAGTCATCGTACTCCCCTTTCGATTTTCGCGCAATTGATGACGCAAAGCAGTTTCGCTTCTCATCGCTTATTAGGTGTTTTGCTTTTACAGCGAAATATAATATACGTTTATTTCGCATTATCATTTCTATACATTAGATATTTGTGCGATATAAGCATATCGCAATAGTTTGCGACACAGAATTCAATCAAAGAGC